AAGAATAAACAAAATAACTAAATTATTTTAATGCTTGGTTTGTTCCAAATGTTGCTTTATATGCGTTTGCTTTTGGATGTATAAAAGCAGTTTATTATATTCTTGGTTTTTGGTTACCAAGTTATTTAGATAGTAAAAATGTAAATGATGTTGCTTGGATAACAGCTATGATTGATGTTGGCTCTATTCCAGGAGGAATTTTAATTTGGTATTTGTTATTTCTATTATAATTTTAGTTTAATTGGATATTATTTTAATAAAAGAGCAATTATAACAGTTCCATCTTTATGGATAGGAACTGTTATAATGATTTCAGTTAATTTTAGTGGATCATTTAAACATGAAATAGCTGGATATATGTGTTTAATATTTTTAACAGGATTATTTATAGGTGGATGTTATAATAATATTTCAACTGCCATGACTGTAGAACTTAGTAATTAACCAGAATTAAAAAGTATATTACTTATTTATTTATTTATCTCTAGATAGTAAATCTGCAACATCAACTGTAGTTTCTGTTATTATGGGATATGCAGCTATGTTTGCTGCTATTAATTAATTAATTGTCCCATATGTAGAAAATCATTTATTTCTTTATTGTGGAATTTTATCAATTATTGGAGGATCATTTCTTATACCATTAATTGTAAATGAAATTTAAAGAATTAAAAAAATGTCATCATCAAAATAATGAGTTCCATTAAACCTTCATTGATCCTAATTGTATTTAAGTTTTTTATTGCAAACATCCATCAATCACTTTTCCCAAAACATCTTCTTTTATTTAGCAAAGAGCCTATACTTATTCAATAATCGTCTTACTTTGTAAAAAAGAATGACACCTCCTGTTGTTATAATGCTTACTAAATCGATCATTATAATTACACGTAGTTAATTTAATATTAAATAAATTAATTACAATTTTAATTCTAAAAATCGTGAAACATTATCGTATTCACTTTTTAATTATCAATAAGTATCAATACTTATTAAAAATAATCTCATTTTGTAAAAATAAATAAAACTAGGTAAGAATAATTAAGTATATTCCAAATAATAATTTACACTGATATATAGATGATCAAATCCAATATTCTTTTATCCATTCTGCTGGGTATGAATCAGGTTTTGGCATTCTTGGAAATGTGACAATTCTTGTATTTTTGGGCACAGACTATTTACATTCAAAAACAAAATCAGATATTTATGTTGGGTATATATCTTATAAAAATTCTGCATTTTCCACAATCATTTCTACTCAGAAATCAAATCTAACAATAAATTTTTATATATTTTTCCAATTAGCATCTAATTCAGTAAAAATTCTTTTAAAAATATATCTATTATTCCAAATAACAATGCTGCTATTATATCCATTTTTATTTTATTTTTCACATGCAATTTCATCAGTTTTGAGAATTCCAAATGCACCATTATAATCCATGATTTCATCAACATTTCCAGTTAAAATCATATCAAGATCAATAAAAAATAATTTTCCAGGAGGGTAATCATAATAATCCATAAATAAAGTTGCTTTACCCCACCAACCAGTCCAACCTTATTTTAATTCTCTGGTTATTATTTCAGGTTACAAGTTATCAGGATTATCAGTAACACAGATAAAATTAAACTATCTAGTACAATATCGTTTAAATCCATTATATAATTTATTAACATAATCTGGACCATATTTAGTACCCCATTTCATACAAATAACATTAACCAATTCATTTTTTTATACAGGTGTAGTTTTGACATCTATCTTTTAAGGTTCTTAATAACCTTAACCAGTAATTTAAACTATTTATTTCCAAGTATGATCAATAGCCTCTTTTTATCTTCCAAGTTATCTTAACAAATCACCAAAATTAATTTAAGCTTCAAAGTTATTAGGTTAAAGTTATATTGCCTTTAAACAATATTCATATGCTTCATCTGGTTTATCTAAATTTGTTAATAAACATGCAAGATTAGTATGAGCATCAACAAATGCTTCAAATGAATTTATTTTTGGACAAAAGTGAAGAATAGGAATTTTCTAAGATTCATCATAATAAGGAGATAGAGTGATCACCTATTTGTAATATTCTACGGCTTTTTAATGTTATTTTTATTAGGCATAACAATTGGCAATGTTCATTAAAATATTTGTACTTTATACTTATTTTAGTTAATGAAAATACTTTAAAGTTGTTCTTAAATTGTTTATAATGAGCCTTCGAAATGTTTTAATGCCATATCAAACTTTTCAGCTTTAAGTGTAAAACAAGCAAATTTATTCTCTTCTAATGCTTTGATTAGTGATTCATTAGACTTTTTTTTGAATTCTTGATCAGCTTTAGCTAATCTCATGTTGTGTTTGAATTCTGAATAAAAATTCATGATTAAAAAAATAATGAGATTAATTAGATTGATTTTAAAACGAGAAAGTAAAAAAAAATATTTAGAAATAATTTTTATTGTTAATTATTTATGTCTGCATCAAAGATCTTTTACTCACCATCACGTTCAAATGTGAATGTTTCAAATGTACAACCATATGGAGGTGATAGAGCACTTTCACCAAGCAGAGCTAAAATATCACAGCTATCAGAAAAACTCTCCAATCTATAACATTAAATTGATGAAGATCAAGCTGTATGGTTTGTATACTAATAATTAGTTTAAAAAAGAAACATTTGAGAGCAAGATTAAAATTTTAGAAGACAGAGCAACTAAATAAGCTTAAGGAGATGATTCTAAGTTCAAGTTGTTGAAAGAACAACTCTAAAAGGTTGAGGAAGGTGCATAAAATGAGAAAATCATTAGAGAAGTATAGTTAAAACTAAAATTAGGCTGGAGATGAAAAATTAAGATCAAAAGATTTAAAGGCATTAGAAGGATTTTTGAATAAAGAATTATAATCAGAAAAAATAAATAGAAAAGATTTTGAAGGAAAAATAATTAAGAATACAGATGATAAGGTTTATAGCTTGAAGTTGGATTTGGCAAGATAGAAGAAATACAGAGAAGAGACAGAAGAGAAGAATGCTTAAGAGATTGGAGATCGTATTTTATAATTATAAGAGGAAGTAGAAGAAGAAAGAAGATAAAGGTATTATTAATATATATAAAATATAGAGAATAACAAAATCAAAATACTATTAAGAGATTAGGAGATTCAATTTTAAAATTGTAAGAGATCTTAACAACTGAGAAAAAATAAAGAGAATAGGCATAAGGATAAATGTTTAGAATGTTAGATGAAATGAATCACTATTTAAATAGTGAATTAACAAGTGAAAAGAATGAAAGAGAAGCTACAGAAGAGAGCTTGATTAATTTGATAGATCAAACTTGTAACAGAGTAGAAAATTCATTGAGAAAATGATATGACATGATCTTAATACATTTAATTTTAAATAATGTTCAATTCTCCAGTACCGGGATTAAAGGCAAAAAGAATATAAGTCTTTATTTGTTGCTTTATCCAATATG